AATATTACATTGGTTTTTATTGCTTACAATGCATAAATGCAAATTCCAAATCCTACTATTATCAAGTGAGCTGCGTTATTTAGATATTAGATTATAATAATCAGAAATATTATATTATATATTTAGGACCTATTACCATTTAATATCCTCTATCGGATGTACTGGAATTCCCTTCTTTATTTTGATTTCAATAGCTGTTCTGCATTGGCTTTAAAGCACACATTCTTAACTTTGAAATAATTCAAAATATTGAGCATAATTTCTGGTGCTGGAATTGAAAAAAAAATCTGAATTTATTTTACATATCTTCAAAACTTTTTTGCAACAAAATTCATCTAATTAAAATTTGTTTAAGCTACACATTGAAGAATATTACTTCTTACAAAACAATTATATTTCTTACAAAATAACAAATCTATATTATGCCTATATGAAAAGTATATGAAGAAATCATCGGCGTTTAATTAGATGTGTCAAAAATCAGATCTTTCTTTATAAACTTATATACAATAATTATTAGGCAACTGATAAATTACATTGTTAAATTATTCAAGAAAATCTCATAACTTATGTGTATAAGATTTATAATATTTGTTTCGAGTACTGTTATTTATCAGCATTCAGAATTTCTGATAAATAACATAAATTTGCATATGTATTGCAACACATGTATGTGTTGCAATATTGTTGTATATATATTTATGTAATAACTTAATTTTTGGTTACAGAAATTGCACTACCTATTTGTTTTGGTGCAATCAGACTTCTTAAAAAATTTGGCTGTTAGCTTTATGCCCTCAAAAAAATCTGTATCTAATATGGCTGGTAATTATGTGAAAGTTTAAATCCAATTAAAAAAATATTGATAATTAAACAATTTAAAATTTATTAGCTTGTGTGGCAACTGTTAAAAATTGTATTTCCAACACAACAAAGCATGTACAAGAGTGCACAAGATTATTGACGCAAAGGTATGAAGTTCTGAAAAACTTTACACCACAGGCTAGGATGACTGCAAATGTTTATAAACAATACAATAGGTAAATATTAGAAAAAAATTGTAATAGTAATTATAAAAAAAAAAAAATTAATAAATATGGTTGCATTTACTTTTGGGGATAAAGTTCTGAGAGTAATACCTTATTTTTAAAGTTCTTTTAATCTAACTAAAGAAAACAAAAATTTATTTTGCAAATAGTTTTTATCAACATTAAATATCAATGTCATTAGTTTTAAATAATCATCAAAATTGATTTATTATTAATTATAGAAGAATTTACAAAAGCTGTAGATTTTTTTGATTTGAAACTTAATAATGAATATTTAAGTTTTGTCAGTTAGTAAATAATTATAATAACTCATTTTTAATTAATTATTATTGATATGTTATATATAGATATTCAACTTTTGGGGACGTGAGACAGACTGTTAATAATATTACTGTATGTCTGGAAGCTTTAACTTTGCAATCTTTACTTGTTCAACGTGCACTAGATGGTTATGATGATAATTCGATACAAGATAATTCAGGAAATAAGTCTGATATTGATAGAATTAGTTCTGTAACTGAGGATGCATTGTTGGGATTGCAAGTAAGTATTTATAAGAGCATGATTTAAACTTCAAAATTATTGGTATTAAATAGATATCAATCAAATAAAATATTGGTAGTCATTTGTTTTTATTAAAATCTAGTCAGATCTTCATGCCGCGCAGTGTTCTGTTGAATTAGCAGCACGGCAATTGGCCAAGTTACGAAAATTAGATAAAGAAAAACGAGTTCAAGAACAAACTGAAGATGCTGAAAGTGGCATGCTGAATGTTAATAGGCATCCAGAAATTCAGACACAAGTTGTGAGTCAAATTTAACTTAGTATTTAGCTAAATTTGGATATTAGAATACAGAAAATTTTATTTTTTCATTTGCATTAACTTAAGTTTTTGCTGCATAGATTTAAAAAATCCATCGACTTTCTAAATTCTAAACAGCTAAAACATATCAATATTATATATTATATTCGTTTGATAATTGAAACCATTACTTTGAATATATATATATATTTTTTTTCAAAACATTCTTGACTAGTTTTCAAATAAAGCAATAAATTCTTAAACAATTATCACTATTTGGGCTTTTGTATTTAATTTATTATGTTTTAATTTTATATGTTTATGTTAATGTGCTTTGTTTTTTTACAGAGAAAACTTGATGAAATTCCTGATGACATACATGATGAAATTTTTGAGTTATGTGAAAGACTGTCAGATGATGAAGAAGATGATTCAGATGCAAACGACCATAATTTACATGAGATTATACAAAAGAGAGCTGAGGACAGAGTTGCTGGAAGACTGATAAAAGAACTCAAGACTGCTCTGGTTTGTTTGACTTTTCTATGTAATAAATTTACTTTTTTTGGTCCACAGTACAACATAATTATTTTTAAAATTGACTTGTATTAGGTTAAAATTTGATTACTATTTCATAAGCAACAAAAAAAGACTATTGTATGACTTTTACCTTTTTATATCCTCAATATTATATGTAGTAATTTCAAATGAAATTTCTTAGTTGGTCAAACGTGCTGAAATGTTAGAACGGGAAGAAGTGGTCAGATCAATTAAGAATGGATTTAATCGACAAATGTCAACACAGACCTATGAACAAGAAGAAACTCCGTCAGAAATGATAGCTTCTATTATGAAAACCTATAATGAGGAAATGGCTTTTAGAGGCTCAACTTCTGGATCACAGAATGGTTCAAAGATGAATAAAGTAGATGCTTGCACCTTAAACTCTATGAAAGACCAAGAAAGTTTGAATTCGACTGGCATATCACAAAGTATTCAATTTATTATTTACATTATATTTTTAAATTGGTTTAAAAAGAGTGGATTTTGTTTTACTTAAAATTTATTTGATTGTGAAAATTTAACATAACAAAAATCATTTAGTTACTCTTAATTTTATTATGCCTTGATATATTATATATATATATATATATATATATATATATATATGAATAAATAGTAAATTCTTTCTTTAAACAAACTACTTACAAACATAACTATAATGATATTTTTTGTTTTCTTTTAGTAGTTCGATGGATGTTGGAAATTCATTTTGTTGTATTATTGCACACACACAAACATATATATATATATATATATATGAGTAAGTTCTTCAAGGGCATACATCAAATAAAAGGCAAAGATTTAGAAGTTAATCTTTAATTTTTCCAAACGTTTCGACATAGTATTTTATGTCATCATCAGTGGATCTACAGAATGAATATTGAAAAATTAATATAATCTAGGAAAAAATGACAGAAATTGGAAAAAGAACTATAGATATAAGTAATATAATTATAGCAATAACAATTATACTTAACAGATAGATAAACAAGAGAAATGAAAAGTAAAAAGAAATATATATAAACATACAAAAGCGTAATATATATACATAAATATACACACAAACAAAACATGTATATATGATATGCATGTAAAAACACGTACACATATGCATATATACATACGAACAATACGTATATATAAACATATACATACGGACATGTACATATGTATATATACACATATATACATACATACACATACACATATACATATATACATACATACACACATATATATATATATATACATATACACATACATATATATATAATACATATACATACACATACATACATATGCAATACAGACACATACACATATATAGACAATGAAGGTAACTTACATAAATATGGTCTTACATCAGTAGCTAGCGCTAGGAACACAATTTTGCACTATCATATATACATTAACTTGTTTTTTTAATATATATATATATATATATATATATATGTGTGTACCATGTGAATATTATTTTACAGGTTCGCTTTTTATGAAACATGGACAACCGGAAGAAAAAGTTTACCAACAACGCTATTACACCTCATATCCCAATAATACATTCCAACCAAATATTGATAATAATTATTTAAAAGAAACACCATCACAAGTTTTAGAATTTCTTCACAATGAAACGCATAGAGATAGCAGCTTTGAAAGTTTATATCTAGATCATAATTTTTCAGATATTTCATTGATAAAAAATGAAATGTTGGATGAAGCAAGTATGCAGAAACAAGAGAGTGAATATGAATTTAATTTTATGCTTGAAGATAGTGTACGTGACGAGTGTGGATACACAGATTTAAAGGTATATATGAAAATAATAAGTTTTTGTTTTGACTTATATTTCAATAAGTATTGTTGATTGATTTATTCATTGTTAAAGTAATATATATTACAATTATATAATAAGATTATTCCAATACTGTTTTTTCATATTTCGTTGACTACAATTATTATCTTCTAATATATATATAAATAAGTCGAGTTTTCCTTCCTGACGAAATAACTCCAGAACGCACGAACCGATTTCGACAATTTTGCATTCGTTAGAAAGGTCTCGAGTTCCGCAAGGTTTATAGCTAAGAAAATTAGTGGTGCATGGCATCGTGCCCAAATGCAAATTGCTGGAACTTCACGCACCGTAATTAAAAATTCGAGTAATAAAAATAATCAATAATTGTTTTAAATAATTGCAAATAGATTATCTTCTATATATATAAAAATAAGTCGGGTTTTCCTTCCTGATCAAATTTTTCCTTTTCAAATATAAAACAAACAAAAAATTTCTTCATCTTTCTCACGAAACCATCTGGTGGCGAAACGGAGTTCGTCGGGTTTGCTAGTATATTTTTATAAACATTGTTTCATCAAATGTGTCGTTATCATGAATATTTTTCTACTATATAATTACCAATATATTATTACTATTATTCTTTACTAATGTTGATTGTTGAGCTATGATCTATGAATGTTGTTGAATTGTTTATTTATTTGTTACAGATTTTACCCGGCACTAATGATTTGTCAAGCGTATCAAGTGAAGATGGATATGTTTCTCATTACTACAAAAGTACACCAGACTCAGTTCGAAGTGAAGAATCATGCAAATCTAATAAAGAACTTCCTACTCGAAGTGGTGATTACTTATTAAACAACTTGCCTCCGCGGCCAAAACCTCCAAGTCGTCGACCTTCAGCAAAGAATCGTTACAGGTTAGACAATTTTATTAACTATGTTTATTTAGATACAGCTTCTCTAGTTTATAATAGTTGTTTAATCTAATTTATTTACAGTAGAGATTTATGAGTTTTTTCTACAACAAAGTTTTGAATATTTACATGTTTTAGGGACTTAATAAGAAATAAGATTTGGGTATATACATTTTATATAGAAATTGTGTGGAGTGATACATGAATAGTCTTAAGAAGACTTTCCATGTTATTTATGTTAAGATTGGTTGAAAACAAAAATGAACAGGCTTAGGGCTAAAGTTATTTAGGGTATAAAGGGTATGGGCGTGTTTTCATACAGAATTGGCCCCACCCTGGTATTTAAATAATTTTGATGCCATTTTGTAGGTATTTTTGAGAAATTGTAATACCAAATTTCAAATCCTGCTCATCATTTGGCCGAGATATCAGTGAAAACTTGTGAAAGTGGCCCCTTTTTTCAAACTCACTTTTTGTCGGAAATATGAGAGATATCGAAGAACTGTTGGCGTCATTCTATTTGTACTGATCTTGTCTATGTTGTTCATAACAAATAATGTGAAAAAATGATTTGTTAGTGCGTGAAAAGGTGAAAATGATTTTTCACTTTCCATTTTCTACCAGTGCGGCTTGTTTGACTACTTTTATATTAGCATCATTCGAAAGCCTGTACATTTTTCTTCTATTATTGAAAAACTCATTTAAATCTAAGTGGAACTTTTGGAGAAAAGTTGGAAAAACTTAAGCTAGTACGCGCGCTGCCAGTACAAGAACGCTCATATAAAGTCGCTTTGCAAGAGCGAAAAGGTGAAAATGAAAAATCATTTTCACCTTTTCACGCACTAACAAATAATTTTTTCACATTATTTGTTATGAACAACATAGACAAGATCAGTACAAATAGAATGACGTCAACAGTTTTTCGATATCTCTCATACTTCCGACAAAAAGTGAGTTTGAAAAAAGGGGCCACTTTCACATGTTTTCACTGATATCTCGGCCAAATGATGAGCTACTGATTTGAAATTTGGTATATCGAATTTTCTCGAAAATACCTATAAAATGGCATCAAAATTATTTAAATCCCAGGGTGGGGCCAATTCTGTATGGAAACACGCCCAGACCCTTTTATAAAGCAAAACGTGGCATATACATTTATATATATGCTATTATTTTCCTCTATACAGATATGAGCCTGAAAGCGGTGATAACAAAGTTAACAAACCTTTGATCATGGATTTTAAGTTTGCTAATGAAGCAGTGATCAAAGCACGCGAAATGAACTTGATAGGCGATGAAGAACATTTTGGAAACTCAGAATGAAATTAAACTTAACAAAAAAAGACTGATCTTAAAATGTACAGAAATTATTTGAACTTGTGTTTGACATGTCAATAAAAATTGTAAGTAACATGATTTTGTAATGACTATAGAATTGATGGTTATAATTATCTCATATTAATCATACAAGAATATGAACAAGTGAGTATGAGAAGAAATTTTATTTTGTAACGTTTCTTCAAAAACGGTTGTACCAATTTCAAAAATTTAAGAACCATTCGCCCACGTTTAAGTCAAAAATTCTGGATTGATTTTAAAACTACAAAAACAGACCGAAGAGTTTGGAATAGTGCTGTCATAGTTTTTGATAAAGATTGGTCAGCGAGTTTTCTTCGTAATTTGATGTTGATTTTCTTGCGTTTTTTCTTGAGATAAAGAGTTCATGATCTTAATGAACACCTGAAAACATTATATTTCTAGTTCTTCAAAATGGGATTGAAATATTAAAATTTATTAAAGTCTGGAATAATGAGCCGTGATTTTACGACATATACGGTTATGTTTGTACATAGATATTATATATGTATTAGTTGTTAGTGAAAGCAAAAACTTTATTTTCGAAAGAAACATAGAACATTTTATCTAAATAGGTGAATCTCTTTTTAGAACCAAATCGTTAGAATGCTTTGACATTAAATAATTTTGATATTTAATACGAATAAAAAGGCATTCTAAAACTTTTGAAAAATATTGACGTTCAATATTTTTATAAAATTCAATCTATGTTTAAAAATTAAAAAGAAACACGAAAAAAATTGATGTATGTGTGTGATACAATTTTTTGTCCACGATTTCGGGCGCACAAATTAATCGGTTTGAATGATTCGAAAATCATTCGATTCTTATTGATGAGAAGACGTGCTGATTATTTTTTGGTGAAGGCAGGCCCAGCCGTTTAGAAGATACGGGGCAAAAAGTGCCAAAAACGGTAATTCAGTCTTTGAGAGAAACGAGTACCCGATTTGAATGATTTAAAAAACATGTTACTTGTATTGACAAAATGAAGAATTGATGAAATTTTTGGTAAGGCAGGTCTAGCGGTTTCGGAGATACAGAGGAAAAAGTATAAAAAAAATATATTTGGCGGTGACAAATGATCATTAGGCATATACACATCGAATTATCAGATATTTGATTAAAATTTAAAAAATGAGTGCTAATTCTATTTTGTTGGGTGCCGTACCAAGATTATTAATTTTTAAAATTTACTTATACTTATTCAAGCAAATTTCAAAATCTTCAGATTTTTTTTTCAAAATTTTTAATAATATTCAAAGTTTTAAACTTCAAATATGAATTTTAAATTTACAATTCAGTGTGAAAATGTATATATTTCAAACGCGTTATTCTAATCGTAAGAAATATATCCTCAGATGGATTTATTCGGACCTCTTGCTAATGTAAACATTCTCAAGTGTTTTGAGCGATAAGATCTTCACTGTCTATTTTATGAACGATAAAATATATAGTGATTATAATTATCTACTTGAAAATGTTCAAAACAATTGTTATTAATCATTGATCAATATTTATTGATTACTGATATTTGTTCCTCGAATATTTAATTCTGGTACGGGAAGTACCAGCAATTTGCCTCAAGGCAACGATGCCATGCACCACTATAGTTTTATATTGTAAAGGTACTATTTGAGCGGTAAACCAGGCGGTAATTTTGCCGTTCTTGTAGGATTAACTTCGGTTTGACCCTTGGCCAAAGTCTTAACTTGACATTTTACTAATTAGAGTATTAATCATTATTCGAGCATGATGTCACTATAGTAATGCGTTTTTTCAAAAACTATTTTTATAGATTAATAAAGTTAACGATGATAAAGTTCGAGTGTCTGGCCTTAATCGGTGTCAAGTTGCCATGCCAAATCTTAAGTGGGAACATTTCAGTTGATACATCTTTATGTAATACACAATTTGATGAGAATTCATTCCTGATTCCAATTGACTCTTGATATTGACTGACGTACGGAATTTGTTTGAAGACATTTTCATTGATAGATCTGCTATGAGCGAGTAATAAATCTATATTCACGCAAGCGTACATTAATTATTATTTTATTAATGATGATTTGTGAATAAATTATTACATATGTTATATATTTGATATTAATTACTGATCAATTTCCCGAAGGAGAAGTTTATTTTTTGCCAGAAATCCTGAATTGGAATAAGAATATGAATGTATGCCAATTTAAAAAATAATTCGATTTAATTCGAAAAAAGTACTTCAGTTGATTAGTTTTACGAGACGATCGGCCGGACTGTTTTTTTTAGCAATTTTCAGAAAATTACTGAACCGATTTTGACATTCAAAAACCGTTCAAAACGCATGGATTTGGGGAACATGCTATATCTAGTCTTTAGTATAATAGTAATAGTAGTATAATCGCTTTTAATTGTTAAAAAAAATGTGTTGGCGAGAATTATAAATAAAAAATAAATAAATAAAAAAATATGAATCAAAGTTTGATTATAATTTTAAAAATCATTAAAGTTTGGAGTAGTGGGCAATGTTAAAATTTTAAACTTCTATCGTAACAATTAATAATTTTAAAGATTAACTTTGATTATTTACGTATACCGAAAAGTTTTTTGCAACTTGCTAAGTAAAAATGCCACTTAATTAACATTTATTTTTATCATTAGACATTTGCTCTCTAATTTTTTTTGGAAAAGCGTACTTTTTTTATCAAGACCTGCAAATTTATTTTTAGTTCTTTTAATACGTATTATAGAAATCTCAAAATTGATGTTTTTTATATCTTTACGTTTCAATAGCTTAGAATTATTTATTTTGGTTACCTTAAAAGGGGAACCCTTTCGTTGCTCGTCTGGGATTTTGTTGATAGATTTGGTGACCACACTGACCGCCGTAAAATATTAGAGTCCTATGAAAAGTGATTTAATTATAAATTTTAGATAAAGTGGATGTATACGGGTGTGTTTGTGCACTATAATTAATATAATCATAGATATTATATGTTGTATAAAAATATCAATTTCAAATCGTATTGATTAATTGTTATTGAAGAGAAAACTTTATTTTCGAAAGAAACAGAAAATTTTATTAACTGAATTCAATTAAGTATTGGTTATTTACACGGGCAAGAAAGTTCACGCAGCTTGACTTAAGTCAGAATGCTACTTCTACCTAGTTTAAATAGATTTGTGATATTTTCAAATTCTATGGTTTATATAAAAAAATTTTGTTTGTTTTAGAACCAAAGCGTTAGAATTCATTGTAATTTGAATTGCAATGAAAAATTTACAATATTTTAATAGCATGCATACATTTTTCAACTAAATTTTGTGATCTGAAAAAATAAATGGAAACTGCTTACAAGCAAAGATTTTGTGCTAAAATTTGAAAATTTCTTGAGGATTTTTCACAATTTTCCGATTTTTTATCTAATTTAGGATATATTACTGGGCAAATGGGGTGGGGTAATAGGTGTCATATATTTTAGAAACATTCCAAATTTAAACAAATGCTTAAAACATTGTATGAAGTTTAGAAGAATATTAGGTTAGTTTTTTTTTAAATATTGACAGATTATAAAATATTGTTTGTATATTACCGTTTTAAGGTATGTTCTATTATCTTTTTAATCTATTTTATGGTAATAGATTCTATTCATTCAATAGCAATG